TTATCGTAAATGGGCGAGTGAATACAGGTAAAGGCCTGTTACGCTCGGTCCCGAGCCCCTATCTGGCCGAAGCGAATCTGGCTTGAAAATCGGCGCTGGGAGCTCCGACTGGAACGTAATATATGGTGTATGTCCATGATCTTGGAGCCTGAGTTACTTGTATTCTTAAAAGTTAGAGAAATCTCCGAAAGAGAGAAGATGTCTGACAGTACGCAGCAGGGCTAACAGAGTGGGTCCAATTTTCCTAGTGATGATTGGTGCAGATCTTAGAAGCTTGTTTCCTGGCATATCTGCCCCGTCGACCAGGTTTATACTTCTCACTTAGTTAAGACTTGCCCAGCACTCTAGTAGGAAGAAGAATTTCATTTGGATCGAATGCATAAATCACATTAATATGGAGGTATCGAACATCTAAGAAAAAGACCCAAGAGGAACACCAAAACGTAAATCAAAGACAAGACCCGAAAGATGCCCGATCAACGAGAAAGCTGTGTCGAAACAAAGCCAGCTTTAAAACAAAAAGGCCATGGAAAAGAAACCAAGCCAATATATGAAAATTGACACAAAAAAAAAAAAGAAAATCAAACAGGCTCAACTGTCTGCAGAGGGACGTATCCCTCATCTTCCCTAATGGTGGTTCTGACACCCTTGCCAGTAACCAGGGACCAAAATGAAGCGGCCACACCACCAACCCGACGACGGAGAGAGCGTGGGCTATCTGACAGGATGGTGGCGGGAGACCACCAGCTACGCTTCCGGGCATGAGCGCCACGACCGATACCAGCCGCGGAGATTGCACCAGAGGCGATCTCTTTCTCGAGACGTTCCGTGGTCATCCAAGAGGGACGGCTCCAGAACTTCAGTAGGAGACTGCTGACCACGACAGAGACACTGGACAGGGCCATTGCAGCGCCGGCTGCCATAGGCGGTAGCATGAAGCCAGTGAAGGGGAGGAAAAGGCCCATTGCGAATGGAAGACCGATGACGTTGTACAGACAGGCCCACATCAGGTTCAGCTTGATGCGTGTGAAGACAGCGCGCGAGAGGGACAGACTGGCAGGCACGGAGAGGAGGTCGTCGGGACGCATCAGGACGATGTCAGCTGCTTCCACGGCTACGTCTGTGCCGGAGGCGAGGGCGATTCCGACTGATGCTGTTGCCAGCGCTGGGGAGTCGTTGATGCCGTCGCCGACCATTGCGACGCGCTCGCCTTCGGCTTGGAGGGCGGAGATAATGGATCGTTTCTCTGATGGTGAGACGGAGGCGTGGATTGCGGTTTTGGGGATGCCGACCGCTGTCGCGATTGCTGTTGCAGTTGAGAGCGTGTCGCCTGTTACCATTGAGGTTGAGATTCCCATGTGGTGCAGCGCTGCCACTGCGGCTGCGGCTGTGTCTTTGACTGTGTCCCGAAGGGAGATGGTGCCGGCGTAGCGGTTGTCGATTGCGACATGAATCTGGGTTATACCGGATCCTGAGCTACTGGGCTTGGGGACTCCGGCCTCGGGGGTAGACTCAGATGCCGCAGAGTCGGGGTCTGCATCAGCAGGCACAGGGACATCTTTGGAACGGAGGTAGTCAGCGTTGCCCAGAAGGACATTATACCGAATACGGTCGCCGCTGGATGTAGGTTCGACAGTAGCAGAGATACCCTTGCCAACACAGTTGTCAAAGTCGCCCATGGCACCAGGCAGTCCATCCTCTCCGGGATGTCCTGATTCTGTTTTAGCCGCAGAAAGGATCGCTCTTCCAATTGGGTGTTCACTGCCTGTCTCTGACAGACCGACAACAAGCCACCAAAGCTGGCGACGCCAATCATTCATTGTCCATTGGGGTTCAATCCGGGTGTGCGCCACGCTCATCTTTCCTGTAGTCAAGGTGCCAGTCTTGTCAAAGACAACATGGGTGACCTTGGTGGCGGCTTCCAGAACAGCACCACCTTTAACAAGAATACCGTGCTCTGCGCCAACTCCAGTACCGACCATAACAGCAGTCGGCGTACTCAGACCCAAAGCACAGGGACACGCGAAGACAATCACTGAGATGCAGAGCTTCAGACAGACCATAACTCGGCCACCGTTGCCTTCGACTTCGAAGATCATAGGCGGGTGAGGAAGTATATGGCTAAGGAACATCCAGCCGAAGAACGTGATTAAGCCGAGGCCAATAATAGAGGGTACAAAGTAACCAGCGACGATATCAGCCATGCGCTGAATTGGAGCACGGCTTGTCTGTGCGTCTTGCACCAATTTCACAATCTGACTGAGCTGGGTGTCCTTGCCAGCTCTAAGGACTTTGAAGTCGATTGAGTTCGTGCCATTCACAGTTCCAGCAACGACTTGGCTACCCATCTTCTTATGGATTGGTAGTGCCTCTCCGCTAATCATGCTCTCGTCAACATAGCTCTCGCCGCGAATCACAACTCCATCCGCAGACACCTTGTCTCCGGGATGGAGAATGACAATATCACCCACTTGAATCAGCTCGGTGGGGATGCACTTTTGATTCACTGTCATGTCCTCGGCCAGGGCTGGTTGCTCGGAAGCGCCAGACGTAGGCTTGGTGGACCAGCGCTCGGCCAACTTCTCTGCCGCAATGGGATCTTCGTAGATAGTCGTCATAGATGGAGTCAAAGACATAAGCCGGGACAGAGCAGCGGAAGTTTGACCCTTAGCACGGTTCTCTAACCACCGTCCTAAAGTGATGAACGTAATCAGCATCGTGCTGGTGTCAAACACGGTGCTTGGGCGTTTGTGATCAATGCTGCAGAGGGCCAAGGTCATAGTGAAACAGCTGTAAAAGAAGGCAGCCGATGTCCCCAACATAACGAGCACGTCCATAGTTGGGGAGCGGTGCTTGAGAGACTTGAAGCTGGTAACATAGAATCGTCTACCAATGCCAAATTGCACTGGTATTGTAAGACAAAGACAAATCAAGTCTCCAAGGTAGAGGCCCGGCATCAGTTCAAAGCCACCAAAGTCAAGTCCGGGCAGATACATGGGAAGAATCATGCTGATGAGGAAAACAGGCACCGCAAAGGACGCTGAGGTGATGAATGCGCGCCTCCACTCTTGGATTTCCTTTGTCTTTGACAGCGACTGTAATTGCGCGTTCGTATCGTCCGAGTCAACCATCAGGGCGTTGTAGCCAGCGGCTTCAATCACATCCACCACGGACCGGATTCCAATGATTGATGGGTCAAAGGAGATTGCTATCCGGGAGTTGGACATTTTGATTGATGCCGAATGAACCCCAGATTTCTGTAGTAGGTTGTCTTCCAGTGCAGAAGCAGAAGCAGCATCCCGTAAGCCATGCAAGCTTAGATTGATATGTTGCGTCTTCTTCGACAGAGGCGCCTGCACCTCTGATGACACAATCGACGCATCGAATCCAGAATCCTCTATTAAATCTGGGATTTTGCTGGCGGGGATGATGGCTGAATCGTGGATAACCACCGCACGCTCAGCCAGAAGACTGATATTAAATTGGACCACACCATCCACACCACTCAAGGCACCCTCAACACTAGATGTACAAGCGCCGCAGGTCATGCCTCCGACTGCGACAGTCGTGACCAAAAGTCCAGTTTTGTTTTCCGAGTCGACCGGTGTGGATGACCCTTCAGGTCCAGCTAGGGATGTTTCCAACACACGCGCCCCAAACCCTCGGTCCTCAATAATCTCTGCGATCTGCTCCGGGGTAATGGCACCAGCATCATGCTCCACCACAGCGCGCTCAGAAAGCAGGGACACGTCCACCGAGTTCACACCCTTAACGTCTTTCAGTCCGCTTTCCACGGCAGATGTACATGCGCCGCATGTCATACCTTCCACGGCCAGGTTCGTGATCGAGAATCGCGTGGCTGTAGTATCGGAGACGGCATCGGTGTGGGGTTTGGTCTGTTCGTCGGTGGATAAGACTGTCGCATCGAAGCCACAATCTTCAATCATCTCCGCTACTTTTGCCGGCGATAAGACCGTCGGATCATGTTGCACAGCAGCCCGGCCCATTATAAGGCTGACGGAGACATCCTGCACACTTTCGACCCCCTTAAATGCGCCCTCCACTGCAGACGTGCATGCTCCACAAGTCATGCCGTCTATTTTGATAGTCGTCGTGGCCATTGCGGGTCGATCGGACCGGCCAACTGCGGCTAGGTTTGGCATTTTGACGGTGAAGCGCGAGGCGATCACGGCGAGGGAGGATGGGCTATCGCATAAGGAGGGATGCGATCGGGCTTTGTAAAAGAGAGGGCGCTAATAGCGCGATGAGGAACGGATGCTCTCGGATGGCGCAAGACCGAACAGATCATTCCCCAGTTAGACCAAGGAACTGCAGAAGTTAAAATATACAGAGTACACTCTGCCAAAGGCCACGTCAAGGAGATGCAAAGACAAGAAATAAAACCAAGGGCAATGTAAGGCAACGGCTGCAGTGGATTTGATTACGAGGGGTGTGGATCGCATCCCCGAGCCACGCAAAAGAATGCAATCCCCGATTCCCCGATCTCATATACAGTAGGCAGCTGATAAGATGGTCCTGTTTTTAAGAGAACCAGCAAATTAACGAGGCCGTAGATCAATATTCACGTAATATTCAGGGTCCAAGAGAACTTGAAACAGGCTAGACATGTCAAAAAGAAATGGTGGTTTCAAGGGTTAACGGTCAAGTCGGTGACACTACCACATCAGCTTAGTGCCTGGATGAGAATGTGGGCGTCTTCACCTGGACAATTTGAGCGAGCAAGAGTATGCATACTAGGGAGTACTCAATTAAGTAATATAATATGTTCTCTCTACTCATATTAACTTACAACAAGAACATGGCCAAGATATACTGCATCAGATAAAGTGGGTTTGCACTGTGTGCAAACCAGCACCTACAGCTCAATCTCCAACGTAGCTGGAGCACCTTCTCTCCACATTTGATTGCACTTCACCCTTGCAATATACTCTCGCACCCTCACCGTTCCCGTCATTTCGATCCGCCCAGATATCACTCCAATGGATCAGGTCCACGCACGAGCCCTGGAGGCTCTCCAACCGTTCATCCTGCTAGCCAAATCAACCAGCGCAAGCTCACCCCGCTTCATCGCGAATATCATCACAAATGCCACCTCAAGCCCACAAACCTATGTCTTCGCCGAGCTGCTCGAGCTACCAACAGTCCAAGCATTGCGGTCACCAGACACACCAGCCGAATTCCAAGGCCATCTAAAGCTGCTAGAGATATTCGCGTGGGGCACATTGCAAGATTACCAAGGTGAGAACTATACCTGTATACCCAACCAAGAAAAAGAAAAGAAAAAAGCCAGCCTGCATCGCCCCAAAAAAGCCCCAACCCCCAAGGTCTAAGGTCCAAAAGCTAACAATCACCCTAAACCAGCAACCCCGGACCTACCAGAACTGAACGCAGAACAAACGACTAAACTCCGCCTCCTCTCCCTCCTATCCCTCTCAACAACAATCAAACCCCTAACCTACACGTCTCTAAAAACCGCCCTCTCCTGCGCCTCAACAACGGACCTCGAATCCCTGATAACAACAGCAATCTACGCCTCCCTGATAACAGCCCGCCTCTCCCCAGCCAGCAAACCCCCTTCAGTAAACGTAACAGCCGTCTCCCCCCTTCGCGATGTCCAACCCACCTCCCTACCAAAGATGATCTCCATTCTGACAGAATGGGAGTCCCGCTGCGGGGACGTGGTCAGCGACCTGGAAGCGGAGATCGCCCGCGTCAAGACGGATGCTGCCAAGCGTGCGCACAAGAAATATACCTACGATCAACGGCTCGAAAAGGCTGTGGAGCGTCGCCAGAATGGTGCTTCTGGCGAGGGTGGTGGTGGGCGGAGGGGGAATAGGGCTCGGTTTGGGGCTGGGCTTGGTGGGAGTAAGAGGGATGCTGATGATATTGATCAGGACGATGGGTTCTTTGAGACTGGGGATGGGGAGGGTTCGCGGATGGATATTGATGAGGGGGCTGGTGCTGGTGCTCGCTCTGGGAACAGTCGTTCGAAGAGGGTGTTGGGGCGGAAGTCTTGAGATTACCAGATACCCTTGAAGGCCTAGATTATGATGTGTTTTTAATTCTTTTTTCTATTCCTTGTGGGTCTTGTGGTTATGTCGCTCATTAGATCATACTAGCGGTTGCAACGGAAACTCATGATACGAAATGACTTGATTATTGATTATGCATCCGATCTTTCACTGACTTCCAATGTTGTAGGCGATGAAAAGGGACAAAGTTGCATTCGTAAAGCCCAGAAAGGGCGCTCGTTGAGAAGGTAGATACAATACAAGTATGGCGAGTCGAAGGGGTATTGTAAGAAGAGAAAAAAATCACAGAAAGAACAACAGCAGGCAATATGAACACGACAAGGAAAGGTGGATGGGACCGCTCATAAGCGGGTGGATGGAGGGAGACCTGGTTTTCTTGGACAGCCTCGATGTCGATGACTGATATTCGAACCAAAGGTTTCCTCCAGAAATGTGCTTCACAGAAGCAGGACCTCGTTATCCGGACGCCAGAGTTGAAACGCCGTCAAAGGGTCATGAATGTAAACATTGCCAGGATGATAATCAAGGTCCGCGGCAGGAGCTGGTGTTGTTTTGGGGGAGAAATTAAGGCGAAGGACGAGAAGTTCACAGCATGGTGCCGGGGACGAAAATGAACAGAATACTCAAGGCCGCAGCTGTCAGGAAGGCGATCAATGCGGTGACGAGGGCGCGTTTGTTCAGGAGCTTTCGAACGTAAGGCTCACGAATCGGGGCCCAGTTCATAAATGTGTATTCACTGTAGCCCAAGAAGGCCATGACGGGGTCAATCTTGTACTGATAAGAAACGATGAAGTATGCTGCGACTGCAAATGGAAGAATGATCTGTTTCAAAGTTAGTCATTAGACTTCCGATGCGGAAAAAGACTCGTGAACATACCCAGCAGCGAATGTTACGGGGCTTGTTCCGTAGGACAACGTAGAAAGCACCCCAGAAACCTCCACCGAAACTGATCAAAGCAAAAGCGAGGCGCAAGATCATACTCAGGGGAACGAGGTTTCCGAGAGCCTTTGCCTGCAAGAAGCCTGGGAATGCATCACGCTCCATAGCCTGGAAAACATAGTCCTTAGCGGGGTCGAAAACCTCAGGGTCATCACGGCCATCATCTTCAATCAGGTTGATAATTGTCGAGACCATCGGTTCTGGCAGCATGATCTCTCGCTCGGAACCGGGAAGCAGGTATGTGTACAAAATCTTCTCAGCGCTGGCGCGAATATCATTACGGTCCACGGTGTGGCCAGGGGAATTTTCGTCGTCGTTGCGGGTAACTGAGCTTGGCCTAGGCTCTTCATTCGATGAGACATGGTGTGCTGATCTGGTGGAAGACACGCTATCCTGTGCCGAGTGCGAAGTGTTGCCTTCGGAGCGAAGGAATGCAGACAAACGTTGGTCGGCGTCTCTCTCCTTCTCGTCTCCGTTGAATCCGTGGCGCAAACGGGAAGGCCCAGCCTCCGTCAGCGGGATGTCACCCAGGTTCTCCAGGTTGTCTAGCATTGCGGATGATTGTTTGCTGTCGGCTCGTTCTATGTCGGGGGTTGCGACCAGGACTGAACGGCGAAGTTCTCGGACATAGTGTCGGCATAGTAGCATGTGTTGGGAAACATCGAGCCTAATAATTCCGGTAAGAGCGTGCTATCAGAGGCAGGGTGAGTTGACTTTACTTACCAGAAATCCAGATAGTCCACGGAACGCTGCTGGTCCCGCATGTAAATATAGAACGAAAAGAGGTCGACTGGGGCGAGAGTTCGACGACTGAGAACCTCAAAAAGGGTCGGAAGGCGATTCCGCGACTCCGCGTCAACAAAGTCATGAGACATGTTGACAATGTGCAGAGAGTTGAAGATGGTGAAAGTCCAGCACCGAAAGTTCGAAATTAAGAGGGGGGCGATAGGGGCTGAGATGGTAGGGTCGGGTCGGCGAGTTGGTAATCTCAAAGAAGGCCCCAAAGGCTAGCGCGTAAAGCTGAATGCTGATAGAAGCGAACGACTGGCGATAGGGAACGAAAGGAGGGGTTGGAAATAATTAAATTCCACGTCGCGAGACACGCAATGGTTGTGGATAGATGTATGCCCCTGAGGACCGCGAAGGGTAGCACAACGTCGATGTCCGCAAACTCAGCAAAACAAAAGAACTTGATGAAGACAAGTCCAGTAACGAAACGAAAGACCAGGCACCTAGGCAAGGGTGAAGCAACGAGGATATTCCAGCCATCGGCATTCTTCTGAAACAACATCGCATCAACAATGATCCGAGATTAGTTCTCCACCTGTCAGGGGGAGGAATTAACCTCGTCTTTTAGGTTATTGCGTCATATACTTCGAACAGCTTTCAGTTGAGCTTTATATTTGCCCAAGACCAATATATTTACAATACCAGGTAATATCTTCGCAACCCTCAGTGGCAGCAGCTCTGTCAGGAAAAGGGGCACAGAAGTAGGATGCTATGACATGAACAGCAGCATATCGAACCTGTCACCTGGATGTACCTACATTTGTCGCGGCTCGCGATACTCCCAATACGCTTATTTGATTTTCTAGGAACATCATGGAATCTCTTGAGAACGTCATTACCACCCTAAGCATGAGCTGTCTAGCTGCAATTTCCAAAGCATGTCAAGGGAAAACCGATAGTACTTCAGTATAATCGAGATATCAGTTATCGCATTCACTGAAGCCACTCGCACATGTGGCGGCTGAGATGGTTCAGAAGGTTGTATGCAAATGGCTGTGTCTTTTATTCGACCTTTTCAAGTCGTGTTCAATCGTAGCCCACCCCCTGGATACCTCTGCCCTTTCCTGGGCCGTGGACTCTCGCATCTCTTCAAGTCCCTGCGAAATGCGACCCATCACAATCATGCATTTTTGATGTCTGCCTAGCGAGTCGTTGACCTCTCTGAGTATCCCGCTCAATGGATATCCTGCTAGACCCCATAGCCCTGATTAAGATTAGCTTGTAAACAATAAGATCACAGAAATATTGCCTGCACGTTCTACGTACCCGCTGTCGGCTTGAGAAACAGCCCACCCATTGCTTTTCCGACCCCCTTGAGGAGCCCCTTAGCACCTTCATGCTTAAGACCATGACGCGGATGTGTTCCTAGGCCCGTGATACCGAAGTAAAATCCGTCTCTGAGCTCCTGTGCATATGTCAGAATATTTGGTCCCAGACTGTCGCTGGTATGGCTGTTACTACCTTTCCTGCCACCTTGAACCCGCTTCGAAGACTGACCACCTGGGGGACGTCGTTTACTGTCGAGTCGTGATATAATTTGGGTGCGTTATGGAAACCTCTGGCCATGCTCAGTGACAAATCGGTTGGTAACCATATGACTACCTTCAATAACTTCTTTGACATTTTACTTCCGTGTAACGCAGCTTCATGTAAAATAGCGAATTTAGGCGGTTTTGAGGGCGTCAACGAGCTGCTCATTGTCTTGGCCTTTTCGAGTTGGAGATTCCTTTTGCGCTCCATGCTCCGAATTCGAGCGATGTCGTTGACATGGTTTTCATTGTCCTCATCAGCAGTATCGTCCTGTGTACTCTCCTCTTCTCGGATTTCTCTATCTTCCCGTTCATCATTCTCAACCTGCAATTGCCGGCCTTCATTTTCAATCTGTATTTCCTCGCTCTCAATACTATCCTCTGGGGATGAAGGATCCAGTGAAGTAAGTGCTGCCTGACATGCTGCGTGGCGATCAAAATGTTCGTGGGGTTGGCGTATTGCGCGACCAGCAGAAACAAGATCACGCACAATCTCTCTTGGCGTATCTGCAAGCCCAGTCACGAAGCTCGCAATGGCTCCAAAGAGCACCTGGGCACCAGCAGTAAGTGGATCGGCAGGGTCCAGGAATGTATCGTATTCCATTGGACGGTGACTGGAGGCAAATCAGCAAGAAACTCTCGCAATTTTGGTGACTGATGTTGGAGAAGACTTACAGCACGAGCATGTCTGGACTGATCTTCCCTGATTTCACCAGAACCGTTGCTGCAAAGGCACTCAAGTTGATTTCAGTATGTTTGAGATGCCAAGCTGCCGGCTGATCCGAGACTATAGAGCATCTGGATGACTGGGGATCAAGATGTCGATAGAAGCTATTCACCCCCTGGCGCACGCCAGACTCTTCCTGCATCTTCCTCGCGATCGCCTGTGCTCTGTCTAGGGTACTGCTCTCTAGCGCTTTCTGTATTGCGGCTGAGAGATTCTGCACGTTCAACTGTTTATGTGGTATCGGTGCTGGCCCAGCTCCAGCCCGCGCAACGATATCTCCCCAAAATTGCTGGTCTCCAAAGAAAGGGACAATTATCGTCGGTCGACCTAGCGCGAGGCCTGCCGCTGTGGTGCCAGCACCACCATGGTGGATCACACATGTAACCTGCCGAAATAGCCAATCGTGAGGGCAGTTTCCAATCATAAGTATATTTTCCGGCACTTTGTCTGCACCTAGATTTCCCCAGCCTTTTGAGATGAGAGCCCGCTGTCCGGACTTTTGGACTGCTTCAAATATGATCTTCGTCAGTTTGACAGGATTATCAACTACGATCGAGCCAAATCCGATATATATTGGTTTTGGTCCTGTCTTGAGAAATGTAGCTATTTCCTTTGGTGGTGTGTAGTTGGTCTCTGATAGGAGGAAGCCAAAGCCGCATATATCGATGTTATCAGCCCAATCAGGGGGCTTAGGTAGTAATGAAGGAGACCTGATTCAAATATTAGAATAGTTTTGCCGACCAGGAATATATTCCTAACCATAGATACGTATGCGGCACATGTAGTCGGTGTAGTATGCTCGGGGCGGTCATTGTACCCAGAGGTTGGAGTGTCAAGGTATCTTTGCGAAGCGTGTTTAGAATATCTCCTAACCCTTCCCATACCATTATATCTACAATGTTATAGGACACAAAATTTGCGATAGTCGGCTTGCAGTTCCGGGAGTGGACATTCGCTAATGGGTGGGGAAAGGACTGGGTTGGTGACCAGGGCATCCTATTATTCATTAGGTGTTCAGTATGCGAAAGGCAACTAGAGATTAGTATATAAGAGGGTTCGGCTCACGTGAATATAATATGGAGAGGGATGCCTAGTCGTTGTGCGCAATGAATATGGGCTAGGCTAGGAGGGTTGGCTATAATAGCATCTGCCACAAAGGGCCGTTGTCGATAATCCAAAGTCTTACTAAATGGATCATCCTTAATCTGGTGAAGGTAAGTCCCGTCACCCTTTTCAAAGCAAGATCTCCAACATCCATTGAAGATTTCCTTCATCTCACGACGACGCCTCTGGATTTCTCCGCTGCGTATTGCCTTAAACCCCGGTAAAAGGCCCGGATTTTTCACCATGAAAGCCATCAGCTCCGCTGGGTCTCCTCCGATATTGAAAAATTCTAAACCGCTATCGAGAACGAATTGCCGAAAAGCTAAATGTGTGGCCAATCGGACTCGGTGACCGTGTGCTTTCAGTTCTCTGCCTAATGCAACAAATGGTTGAATGTCGCCTCGAGAGCCAATCACTTGGATGACGAGGTTTAAGTGCAGTGGAAAATGCTCGTCCTTTGCGAAGAGCCCTTCTGCACTGGCGGTCCGTTCGGCCTCCCGGTCAGAATGTATATCCGGGCGTTGGATGTGGTTCAATAGCCCTGCGAGGTGTGGTTTATGCTGATCGATATGGATGTCTACCCGGCCGTCACCTATGACAAGACGTGATCCCCGTTAGGGCAAGGTGTGTGAATATTGCCGGATTATCATTCACCTAGAATACGAGCGCCAGTATTCAACCCATCCTGGAAAAATCGCACTTCATTGTGGTCATCTGGTGATCGCTTAGTATCTTCACCCGCCCAATCATCCGAGCGAATGGACATTCCTGCGGTGGTCAGCGCTACAGCAGCCATAATCGACAGGGGTATGGCGCGTGGGATGGCTAGAAAAAAAGATGAGATTGATGATCAGGAAAAGCAATGGTCAAGACGGGCGAAACTCGCGTGAAATCCAACACGCGGCGAAGTCTTCTCGCACTCTCGCACTCTCGCCTTCTCGTAACCCCGAACATGATCTTTGCTCACGCGACCCGTCTCTACTAAGTGCAAAGAAAAGTGATCCGTGTTTTGGTGGTGAATGACGTCAGTGGACTCACTCGGCCCAGGGTAGGTGAAACTTTAGCCCTATGTGAAAGATCGCGGGGAGGGTCTAGATTAACACAATCGCATTATCCGCCTTGGTCGTCCACGGTGTTAAGCTAAAGATTGGTCATCAAATACTGATGGCGGGAACGGATAGCAAAGCTCGGTAGCACAGGGCGTAGAATGCGGCCGAGAGAAGGAGAGTGTCAGCGATTCGTCTTGAATCGAGACTGAGCTTTATGAGTGCTTCGAGGGAAGATGGAAATGAAAAAAAGGAAATGGTTCGAACGTGGACGACACTTTCCTTATATGCAACTGAAAGCTTTAAAATCATGCCCTCATTTACCTCACAGGATCTCAGATCGGATGTTTACACGTGAAAAGAAGATGAAGAGAAACTCACTGGCGTCAGCTTATAAACCAGTGAAGCATATTCCATAATAATCTATCCACAGGGTATTGCCTAAGTCTCAATCCCAACGCCGTACCGGAAAAAAACACCCTCGCTGCATAAAATGTACCTTTTCCAATTAATGATTATCCGCAAGATGCTAGAAGACTCAGTATTTGTATCGCAAGATAGGATCTTTCTTAGGGAATACTCACCGACCACTCAGGGATATTCCGAATCTGGGACCACATAAACTTCTCAAGCTTGTTCGCACTCTTGGCATATGGCGTAGTCTCATTGTTATAACGGCGGCAGTTGTCGAAGATCAGCATGGCATCCTTGATGAAATCCTGCGGAGTCGGATACAGGTCCTTTTCGTGCTTTTCTTCCATTGTTGATAGGTCCATGGGCTCCAAGATCACTTCATAGTAATCTGGCACTTCGTCACGGTTCACGGGTTGAGTGAATGGCCAAGCCGCACTGTGGTTCTGCATGTCATTCAACAGATGGAGCAACTGGTTGTAGTTGGGTCCATGACGGGGCTGGCGAGCCATTTCATCCATATCAGGTGACCATCCGGACTCCTTGATTGCCGGAATGCTGAGGGGATCAATCGGATGTACGCCATTCTTCCATTCTTTCGGAGGAGGATGGACGATGTGTGATCGGCTGAAGGCGCGGATCTTGGCTTGTACAGACTCTTTTTGTTTGGTAAGCATGCGGCCCATTTCCAGGAAACGTATTTTGGGGAGCATGGTGCACTGCATGAGCGTGCCCCCCTCATAATCCTTAATGTATCCCATCCAGATTGACTTGTCGAGTGTGATCTCCTTGGTGAAACCCTGCTTCTTGAAGTATCCAATGGCGTAGTTATCGGCGTAGGTAAGGAAATGCATGATGGGAGAGGTGGCTTTCACATAATCCTGTTTCACACGAGTCAGCTAAGATCACGAGTCCGAGACCCGCAAGCCTTACCTTGAGATGGGACATTAAGTGTGCACCATAGCCCTTGACTTGCTGATCGGAGGAAATAGCACAGAAGACGATCTCGGCGAACTTGCGAGTGTTGAATGGTCGATATGTGATGCCTCTGAATTGAAGATCAGCGCCGTTCCACCAATTGTGTTGGGACCGAAACATACCCAACTACCTCCAAAGGATGCTTCACGATGGCGATGGACAAGTGGGATCTATCGTATACAAGTCGCGCAATGTAATCCTTTGGCATCTTCGGCAGTTGTTTCTGGAAGATACACTTCAACCCGGTGAGAACAATGAAGCTGTCGTGGGAGCCATCATTATTGACGACTCGGAACTCAATATCGCCACGACGTTCTTCGAGTACAGCGGGCTGTGTGTCGTCAGCCATTATCCACAGTGCACTGACAGAGGCAGAGGCGCATGGTGGGAAATACCTTTTCGGGGAATGGGACAATGCGGAGGGGAGGTTTCTTAAGAAGGCCATTTTCCTGCAGAGGAACGTGTCAGAGCAAGCAAACAGTTTTCTCTAGGATCTGAGTCACTTACTTCTTTCTCGGGGGAATCTGTGCGCGCCTTCTTGCTGGCCTGCTGCCCAGACTCCGGGGTAGCTACCTCCTCGGAGGCTTTCCGCTTAAAACCTGGTCCCATGATTAGTAATTTGAGGATTCGCGTGATCAAGCAGTCGATAGAATTGCGATTTGCTCACTTTTGGGCGAATCTGCGGCCATGGTGATCTGAAATACTGAACTTGCACCTTCGCGTCGCTCCGAGATGACATGGGGTACCGGTCGGATTAATTAAACTCCGGTCGGGCCAGATCAACACGTCGATCTATATATACGTCGCATCTAATTCATTCAACCTTCACCCATTGTTGCTCAATTGCATTGATCTGATTCTATTGCCCTCATGTCTCTTAACGAAGTCTGGGAGGCAGCCTCCGCTACACCTTTCACCCCTCTCGTCAACAAGGACTCCCAGTTCTCCGTGGGCTTCAACTTGCTCCTTATCGGTAAGCTTCGTGGCCTTCGCAGCTTCGACAATCGCCTGCTAACTATATTGATAGCACTGGTTACGACTACACTCTTCGGCCTGAGTAAGTATTCATTCAGCTCCATGTTATCATTTGAGCTTCCCCTGACATAAACAGACCGGTCTTTCCTCAACATCGTATCCTTGGGCGTCCCGGCCTCATTAGCATTTGGGTTAGTAATATGGCTTTGCGATTCTTTCTCGGCATCGAGTATACTGACGGAGTGTTTCGGGTAGCTTTGGAGCTGTGTTCATGATCTGTGCCGTCGGAGTTTACGTCTAAACGAACATCTTTCCTATCCCTCAGATGTACCATAAGCGCGGGGTTCAGAGGGGCTTGTACTGCTAGAACAAAGCTATCACACATTCTTCCGGCATTTAATTCTTGTCCTGTGTCAATCTCGCGAATTCCGGGATCCAAGTGAGCTGTGGAGCCTGCTCCCCGAGCCGCGCAAAGCTTCCCCGAACAACACGCCATTGGATCTTGTCGCACCCATACTCGCCTTGACTACACCATGGAGCCTCTATTCTCTGGCGTCTCCAACAACGCTCACCACCTCTACACACTACTCTCCTGCATTGGCTTCGCATCCAAAGCCACCGTCCAAATAACCCCCGATGGCCTCCGCTTCTCAGTAGAAGAAGGCCGCGTGATCCAAGGACTAGCCTTCCTTGACAAATCCCTCTTCACCAGCTACACCTTCAACGCACCAACCGACACAGAAGCAGAAACCAACAACGAATCCTCCCAGAATGTGGCCTACCCCCACTTCGCCGTATCCATCGCAGCCCTCCTCGAAACACTCAAGATCTTCGGCATAAACGAACTCACAGAGCCTAACCGCGAAAAAAGCATAACGCAATCCTCAAACGCCTTCAACGCTCCGGCCCTCCTAATGGACCGCTCCTGCATCCTCCAATACGCCCAACATGGCAGCCCCCTCAGCATAACAATATCCGAAGCGGGCGTGAAAACAACCTGCGAACTAGTAACCTACGAACCAGAAGAAGATGAATCAGATATCCCCTTACAACGCGAAGCAATAATCATGAAAATAATCATGCGCTCCGCCTGGCTCCACAACGCTATCGCCGAACTGGACTCCTCATCACCAACAATCCTCAAACTATCCGCCTGCGCAAAATCAGAACCGTACTTCGCGCTCTCCGGCGCAGGCGGACCATTCAGCGAATCAACCGTTGAATTCTCCATCGACCAACAAAACGAAATAACCAACGGAGCCGGAGCCGGAGCCGGGAATGGACCTGGCCATAGCACGGCCCCTTCACAAAAGATCCTAACAGACGACGGGTCCTCGCGCGCACGCGCAACACGGGCAAAACTCGCACCGACAGTCACAGAGACGTTCCTCGTATCGCCGCCTTCGTCGATGGGCGAGCGAATCCGGCAGAATTACCGATTCGCGCTTGTTCGCAAGGCGGCGCGCGCAATGTCCGTTGCGAACAAGGTTAGTATTCGTGGGGATCGGCAGGGGGTGCTTAGTTTGCAGTTTATGGTTGAGTTGGAGGATCAGAATGGGTCTGTGGGGAGGCCGATTGGGGCTGGGGTTCGGGGGCCTAGTGGGCCTGTTTGTTTTGTTGATTTTCGGTTTGTGCCGTTGCTTGATGAGGAGGAGGTTGAGATGGGGTTGGATGCTGCTGTTGGGTAGGGGATGGCAGGGTGTTGCTCTGTGTCTACTTTATATGGTAGTTTAGGTAATTGACAGTGTTGAATTCATATTTCTCGATGCTGAAAGAGAAACACGGAATTATGTGCTACTGTCATATGGCATTCTCTGTCTGTAAGGTATTTAACTATTTATATTGATATAAATTCTACGAAATATTCGTCGAGTCTAAGTCGTGACAAGCCAGGATAGCAAGAGCGTATAAAGGTCCTGGTTAGATTGCGCTGGAAGTATATACACAACAAAGTGGTATAAAGCAAAATCGAATTCAAGGCTGAAAAGCTAAAAAGAACAAGGCAAACAGACACCACCCATATCCAGGCGAGAAAATAAAAGTCGAGTATCCAAAACAAGATCGAGTGGATCTTGTACATGCTCCCAAAGGAGAAACAGAAAAAGTGTCAGTATAGCCATAGCAGCCATAAACCCGCGAAGTCACGAATGCGAGTGTATGTCCCAATCGCCAACTCCCATAATGACCCCATCATCAACATAACGGAACGCCGAAGCCAGAGCCAGAGCAGAGAGCCCCATAGCCCCATCTCTTCCTTCTCAAACATAAGTTCATTCACGCATTGTCTGGATTGTAACTCGTTTCACCCAGCATACCCTGACCAGCCGGAGCAACTGGCGCCGGATTCGCATACGAGGACGAGCTTGGCTCACCTAGAGGGTGGGCTTGTGGCCGGGCAATTGTAGCAGCCTGCAAGCGCTGATCCAGGGCTCTAAGAGCGAGAGTGCGTCTCCGCTCTGCTTCCTCGCGCTTCCCTCTTGAGCCTGCACCGCCGCGCTGGCTGCTGAGTAGTGTTGGCAGGCCAGCTTCGCCGCGAGCCAGGACTTGCTGGTTGCCTGAGGCAATATCATCCTCTGAGAAGGGTGTCAGGACCCGCATTGCTACTAGCAAGGTATAGATCTGGTCCGCGACGAAGGCGATAGGAGGCTGCATAACATCAGGGAAAAGACACGCAAAGGCGAACGTTTCGCTGGCATCGCCCTTTATTCCGCTGCCGTTGGAGGTACCCGTCAGGTCGGGCTGGCGCTTGTAGAAGCGGAGGTAGCTCCAGCTAGCTAGGACACCGAGCCAGGCGAGCACGGCGGCGGTGTCAGTTCCGAAGATGAAGCCGCTGAGGGTGTTGAGGAGGAGGAAGAGGGCTGGGAAGTGCTTTACGCGCATCTTGACTAAGCCCTTGAAGATTGTGACGGTATGTTCAGGGACGAGTTGCTTGAAGGCGACGAGGAAGGAGCCTTGGATGGAGACGCCGCCGCAGATTTGGGTGAGGCTTCGAGACTGTTAGTGACCGACATTTCTATTCAGGGGTTGGTGTGAGGCTCATACGCTGTACTTGAGGAGCCGCCGACTGCGCCCCATGTTAGGTAGATGGGGACTATCACCACGCAGGGAATCACGGCGATGACGGCGATGAACTTGCTGAACTCGCGCGAGCCCCACGCGCGTTCGAGGTATTTGCCGCCATAGAAGATGGTTGCGGAGTTGAGGAGGACGGTGAAGATATTTTGTTCGACGAATGTCGCTGTTGCGATTGTCCAGGGGTAGTAGAACACGTAGGAGGGGACGAGGGTCAGGTAGGGTACGAGAGGTGAAGTGGTGGGTGTTCCACCAGTGGTGTCAATTTGGCGCCACCTGGCAATGTTGTAGAGGAGAGAGAGGGTCAGTAGGCTAACGAGGCAGATGCGAGTGGCTGGAGGAATGTTGATTCGGAGGAACATGTTGCTCCGAAGGCAAAAGGCCTGAGATGAAGTTGCCCAGGTGTCCAAGTGTGAGAAGTTTAGCGCAGAGCGGAAGTTGCCATATTTAGCGCGGGAGCCTTCAGCTCCCAGGTTGATGGGTTTCACTATGCGTCTTTAATGTTTTTAATGTACATGTATGTCCGACTAGTGATACATACAGTGTACCTACATAGGTATTGCGTAGGCCATATTATATAATGACAGTTTCGCATTCCCATAAAGAAGTTAGACATATGATCGACAAGAGAAAGGGCGATGTTAGACCCAAGGCATGAGCCACGATCCACCTGGACTGCAGCTATCTAGGCTCGGGTGGATGCAGAGAGGCACACATGTACATGTATATAATAAACTTAACTTAAGAGGAGAAAAAGAAAAGTTGACAGGGTGTTGGCGCTTGAAACCCCATGTGGAGAACCGTTCGCAGAATGACGGGCCAGGCGGGCTTATGGGCTGACGGGCTTAAGCACATGAGCTCACAAGTCTGTGGAAATTATAGGCTTGAACGGAGTATGGGGCTCGGGTAATTTAAGAATTAGTTCTAAGTTCTAAGCGAGTAAAAAGCAAGTAGAAAGAAGAAGTGAAGTGAGGTTCAAATGGACGCCACAGGATCCAGTGGCTAGTGCCTGGATCCTTAATCTCAGATCTTCACGTCTTTTCCCTTTCTCCATTCTCCATTCTCCATTCTCCAATCTCCATTCATTTCTCTCTTCTTTACTTTTGGGTCTCTTCCTTCACGTCAACTCAATTTCTCCTTTCCTCTTCCTTCAACTCCACTCCACTCCCCCTTCTCGTCAAGCTCCCTCTCCACTTTGACTTTCAGCCGAGCAAACAGCTTCCCTTTCCGCTCTGGCATGTCCGCGGCACTAAGTCGCACATGTTATCATGGCACAACCTGACCTCACTTCGCATCATGTCAACTACTTAATATGGAGGTGAGTGACTCGGATCTCATGCATGTGCTGTTACTGATCAGATCTCCAGGTATCTCCAAGAATCAGGTTTGTCTCCTAACCCTGCAGTCCGGGCTCTCTAGTCTCTAACCCAATGCGACAGGCCATGGCGACGCCGCTGTGTCTTTGCAGCGCGCGTGGTGTCCTGATCCACAAACTCTACCCTTTGCGCCTTACATCAAGACGCATGCACTTGTGTCGCTAGTCCAAAAGGGTTTGCAATACCACGAGCTCCAGTCCTCACTGGACAAGGTATGTTACGAGCCTACGCGCCAGGGGGCGCAACCTCTTGCTTCTTCTCAAAAGATCATACATTTGGGTCCTAATTTCAATGGGCAGGAGGGCAATCACATCAACTTGTCACCAAATGACTATTTCTTCGGACCTGACCCCTTTGAAACTGGGTGTCTGGAAAGGCGCGATGAGGTCGGCACAGACCAAGCTTCCCCCGGCAAAATTGCGCGCGACCATCCGAATGGGCATGCCGATCCCGGAAAGCAGGCCCGAACAGAAGAAGATTTTATGGATGATGATGCCACTGAAAGCAAACACAGCAGTCCTAATCTTGATGGTGATGGCGATGTTAGTATGGGGGAGATCCCCGAACCCACCTTCACCTTGACAAACGGCGGCAGCGTTGGCGTCCAGATCACCCCCGCCAAGGCCGCTGATTTGACGCCCGACACCGCCCTGCTGGATGCGGAGGACCACGTGACCCGCGCCTTGTGGAGGCCAAAGGACCCGACGACGGTGGTGGCTGCCGGTGACACTTTTTGTGATCTGTGGAAATTATCATCATCATCGTCGCATGTGAAGAAGAAGATTGTGGACCACAAGAACAGCAGCACATGTGTGTCAGCTGTCGGCTGGGACGCCATTGGTGAGAAGTTGGCTGTCGCAACCTGCACGGAGCAACGGGGCACCATCACCATGTATAATGTGAATGGCGATGCAGTGGATTTACTTCCTGAAGTACCTCGAATCATCACGGGTTTGCATTGGGCAGATTCCAGTTCGCAATTGGTGGTTGTGGCTTCGGACAACCATGTCTCGGAACTGGCACTATGGGACGACAACCGCCGACCCGACGTCTTCCCTCCGCCTCAAATTATCGAAAATCCCGTCTTCGATCTCGCTTGGTGCGGCCGCAACCAGGTGTTTGCATCCGGGGAGGGTGCAGTTTACCAATGCGAAGTGGATAACAGCATCCGGTTGGTTAAGAAATTCGCGGCCAACGGACCCAGTACGCCTTGGGAGTTCATTCGTTGTGTCCAGACAGATTCTCACTCGGTTGCTATCGCCGCATCTGGAACGACTAGTGCAATCTGGATTCCTACCCATGATATTCTGATTCCAAACGCACATCAAGAGGCAATCACTGGAATCGAGATTCGCCCTCAACCCCAGGACCAGCGCATTATTATTGCATCTTTCGCTACAGATGACATGGTCAAGGTGTGGCAGGTCGATCTCGAAACAAAGGGTTACTCATGCATTCACAAGCTACGCCTCGGCGAATCCGTTCCTGCTCTTGCGGGATGCTTCTCCCCTGATGGATACGCTTTCAGTGCAGTCAGCAAGGACTCACTCTTCATCTGGAATGTTGAGCGTGGGGGCGAACCCATGGCTACTTGGACTGCATCGAGTTCAGAGGTGAAAAAAGAGGACGGCATGACCAATGGACAGAATGGTCACACAGAACCGATTGGATATCGGGCTCTTTCATGGGATGCAGATGGCAAGCGACTTGCCTATGGCCTCGACAAACAGGTATGGTCTAACGATTGATTCTTGTCAACTTGATTTACTAACTCATCTAGATGGCACTTGTTAATTTGCAACGGTGACGGAGCTAGGCTTTGAATCTACAACATAACAACTTACGACTCATGCTCTCAACCTCCGACATTCCCGCTTGAAAAGCCTTTCTTTCTTCGAAGACATACTCTTCATCGCCTCTTTTTTTCTGTGAACATACATTTTTTTCTTACTTAGAAAATGCATAACGGCATGCATTGCTTGGGATAGGTTGGGTGGGCACGGCGAACATGGACTGGCGACGGTGGAATCTGTCTATTTTCTTCTCTTTTGTGCTCAGGTGGTTGATATTTCCCGAAATTAACTTGTCTATTAATCAAGAAAATACCCATTAACTTTAAAGTTTATAAACTGGAAGTAGAAGCTTTAACAGTATTAGTCTGCATTGTGATATTTTACCAGCTTTGTGGATAAAATCTTCGCCTCCAGTGTGTCATACATAGCTCGATCAGTATATAGCGGAAGGCGCATCCCTGCCGACCCGGCGATACCCCCACAGTGAATCATTTTCCCACCAAATCGACCTTCCTCTTCTCTCTACTCGTACAATTCCAACCACAAACAATGGCACCCCCTGTAAGGATTTGCGCAAATCTTGCCCCTTCATCTGTCATAGGTATATTTTGCTAACGCTCACCGATGACTCAGGTTGCGACGATTCCGTCGCTCGAGACGGCGCAAGACGTGATCTCGAAATCCAGGAACTCCCAGTTCCCTCCTAATCTCCTCCCTGTCACTGCCTCAATTCCCGCAGATTTGTTGACGCCGACACTGGCATACTTGAAGATTGCAGAGAAGTGAGTCATCGGCTCTCACCGCAGAATTGGAGACAAGGCGGGGCACAAAGGACATGATCGCTGACTCGAGCATAGTTCGCGGTTGTCATTTTTGTACGAAAGTGCAGCTACCACAGAGACGATTGGACGATACAGCTTTGTTGGCGCAGGTGGGTGCCCGGTGTCTTGACTCGGTCACATTGCTAATCGTCCCAGACCCAAGAAAAGTCATCAAGACCGGTGAAGGCCACGGACCGGCAGCGGACCCCCTCCCTTACCTCGAGGCAGAGCTCTCTCAGTTCCGCGTCGCATCAGTACCCGGATTGGTTCTTCCACCATTGACCGCTGGTGCGATCGGATATGTTGGATATGACTGTGTTAGATACTTTGAGCCGAAGACGGCACGACCAATGAAGGATGTCCTTGGAGTGCCCGAGTCGTTCTTCATGCTGTTCGATACTATTGTCGCATTCGACCACTTCTTTCAGGTCGTCAAGGTCATCACCTACGTTCCCATCCCCGCGGCAGATGCCGATATCGAGGCCTCGTACGCCAAGGGCCACGCCATCATCCAGGAGACAATTGAGACCCTGCTCCAGGACCGCACACCGCTCCCACCCCAAGGACCCATCATTCCCAACCAGGAGTACACGTCCAACATCGGACAGGAGGGCTACGAGAGCCACGTCAACAGACTGAAGCAGCACATCGCCAAGGGCGACATCTTCCAGACCGTGCCATCCCAGCGCCTATCACGACCCACCTCCCTCCACCCATACAACCTCTTCCGCCACCTCCGCACCGTCAACCCCTCCCCGTACCTATTTTACATCGACTGCCAAGACTTCCAGCTCGTGGGAGCCAGTCCGGAGCTCCTAGTCAAAGAAGAACGCGGCCGCATCATCACCCACCCAATCGCGGGAACCGTCAAGCGAGGCAAAACTCCAGAAGAAGACATAGCCCTAGCCAACGAACTCCGCAGCAGTCTAAAAGACCGTGCCGAGCACGTTATGCTAGTCGACCTAGCCCGCAACGACGTAAACCGCGTCTGCGATCCAATCTCCACCCAAGTCGACCGCCTCATGGTCGTCGAGAAATTCTCCCACGTCCAGCATCTTGTCTCCCAAGTCTCGGGGATCCTCCGTCCAGGCATGACCCGCTTCGACGCTTTCCGCTCCATCTTCCCGGCCGGCACGGTCTCCGGCGCACCCAAGGTCCGCGCCATGTCGCTTATCGCCGAGCTGGAAGGCGAGAAGCGCGGCGTCTACGCCGGCGCCGTTGGCTACTTTGGATATAACAGCGCCAGCGTCGATGGGTCCTCTGAGGAACCCGGTGCCATGGATACTTGCATTGCGCTGCGCACTATGATGGTCAAGGATGGCGTTGCCTACCTCCAGGCTGGTGGTGGTATTGTCTTTGACTCGGATCCGTATGACGAGTACATCGAGACGATTAACAAGCTCGGTGCCAATATTGCTTGTATTAAGGGTGCTGAGGCGAAGTATATGAGTATGGAAAATTAGTTGCCATTACTTCTTTTTTTGAATATCAATATAGTGTTGGGTTCTTTTGCCCGGCCTGGTTGCCCTTGGGCCGTCTGGCTATGCATATTCTCGGGGGTTTGTTTAAATGTGCCGATGCCGTGGCAATGGCATTACAGCGATGCTTGCACCGATGGAGCGCTCTTCTCGGTTGTTTCTATAAAATGCAATGATTTAAATGATAGATGCAATATATGTCTTGTTCACGATTCTATTTATCTATACATAGATATGTCCTAACCCTGCATTTGATATCTCTTGGCCATAGAAAGAATGCGTTCGCAGGCAAGCAATCATTCGACTATCAAAAACGTGCATGGAAGTGAGCAAGGAATGGACTAAAAAAGGGTTGGAAACTGGTCGTTTTGAGGTAAGATCCATGGAAATACAAATGGGCGATGTTTGTACTTTTATAGAAGCTATGTAGATCCTCTGGTCTCATTGGCTCAATACTTGTTGAGCCGTTCACTGAAGAAACAAAGCTTAAAATATCCGCTAATGGCGATCTACCATTCAAAGAGGGCAGTGACGTAAACCGTTAGTGGAGAAGTATAAGATCCATGCCTCAATATCCTCCTTATAAATCCCCTTGTATCAACCATTCAATCTCCTAATATCTAGCATCCAACACCTGGTTTGGGTTTGATACTAGGGCTGAATAATTTGTGTTGGTTCGGCTGGGGGTAGGGTTTCTTTTACTTCGTTGTGGGTGCGGGTCGCTTCGTTAGCGATGGCTTATGCTGCTGGTGAGGGTAAAGATTTGACGGAGGTTGTTCATCTTACTGGGGATACGCGTTCCGTTATCTATTGGAAAGAATCGTGCGACCCTGTGAACTTTGGCAACACTTCGGCAATTGGACGCACCTCTGCCCAAGCTTGAGTCACGTACGTTTTGATGTCTTCGGATGATATTGGTATGAAGACACAGGACTCATTGACCTGGGACATTGGGGAGAGTTGAGTTCTCAGTTGATCTTTTGAAGAACGAGTGAAACTGGCAGGTCTGTTGGTGAAGCAAAGAGTACTTGCAAGGATGTTCTGGTTGATGGTTGGAATTGAACTTTTTACGGAGGACTGCCAGGTCAGAGCCGACGGGTCGACGACAGGGGTCTCAGTCTCATGACTTATCCGCTGGGTCGTGTTGCAGATAGCCTGTTCTTTATGCTAATGTGTATATATTAGTGATAACGCGGCTACGATTATAGGAAGTATAGCGGTGGTGTAAGGGCCTGAGATGTGTGGTAGTTCACGGGCAGACCATAATATGATATACAATAGGCTGCAGTATTATCGCAAATTTTGTTGGATGTTCGTATATCATATCCGTAAGCTACAGAGTCAGATATAGTACAATATCTGAAGAGCCTGGAAAGGGAGCCTAAGACTAGCCGTGGAAGACAAATAACATTAACTATCTCATAATCATTTCAGCGGTTTAACACAAGAGTCACTTTGAACTGGCGTCGACTACCCCTTGAGCCAACTTATTAGCAATACCCCCAATGAAGTCTTTCCTCTGCATTCCATCCTTCCATTCCTGGGGTATGAACTCAACCCCATAGTATGCACCAGCCAGACCTCCATAAACAGCACCAGCAGTATCAGAATCACCTCCCCGATTCACAACAGCCAACGCACCCTTCTTCCAAGAATCATACTTGAAGAATGCCCACAGAGCAACCTCGAGTGTATCAACAACCCATCCACTACTAGTGATATGCTCAGATGTCTTGGCAGTCCAGTCGGAAATCGTCTTGTACTGTGCCATGCGTTCTTTCAGAGCACGATGCGTAAAAGGAAAAGCAGAAAACGTATCAAACAACTGCTGCTTGGTATGACCTAGCCAGGAACATTAGTATAAATCCCTCGAACCAATCTATATCATCAAAATCGAAAGACTTACCATTCATAACCCCACAAACCAACTCCGTATAAGCCTCACAAGCCTCAACACAAGGAAGCGAAGGATGCGTAACCCGACCCTGAACCCGGGCAACCTCCCTCGCAAGCCGAACATCCCGCCAGTAAACAACGCCAACAGGAACAATCCTCATCAAGCTCCCGTTCCCCGAGCGCTCCTCGGAATCCAACTCGATGTCGATGCGAGCCTGCGCACCCTCGATATTCTCCATGCGAGATTTCTTCCAGATTGACAGGGCCTTGCGCGTGGAATACCCCATATCCCATGCACGGTCGATAGTGCTGAATCGACCATGGGTCATCCATTCAACGTAGAACTTGATTGACATGATGTGGTTGTATTGCATCTCAGACTCGACGAAGGAGTTGGCTAGGGCTAGAGTCATGGAGCCATCGTCGGAATATGAGCTGGATGTGGATGTGTTAGACTATGTTTCGTTTGATGGTGATGGATACTCACCCAGCGGGTTGTCTGAATGGAGCCACATATCTCAGACCGGTGATAGGTTCGAATGTATTTGGGTCTTTGAATTGGACAGGGCCGCCTAGGGCGTCGGCGACGCAGACTCCCCAAATTGCACCTTCAGTGCGGGATTTGGGTGATACAGCCATGAGAGATGATGTTTGGTTGTTATACTAATGTCCTTCGAGACGTTGGAGATGCTGTGCTGTTTTATGTATGTTGGGTGATGTTGTGACTCAGAGAGTCAACATGAACCATCAGAGGTTCACAGCCACGGGAGGCGCAGTGCAAGTAAACAAGCGCTACCAAGGCTTAGTAGGTGTGAATACGAGCCTCAAAGTGGGGAACTGTCCAGGTGGCTGCCTGGCGTTATGGGTTGACTTTAAGTCACAGCCCTGGAGTATATCGCTGTGTTGAGTATGCCCTGTGATTCCTGCTTGTCATATCTTCATAGCGAAACATAATGGACGTTCTCGTGAGTCATCCATAGAAAACTGTCAAGATGGTGCAATGAATCTACCTCTCCGAGTTTACCATAATATTGAGTGCTGACTCTGGCTTACGTGTGAATCAAGAATACCAATCATCAGCTAGCATGGAGAGACGCCTCGATCCCTGTTATACGGTTAGCTTTCGGGTTCCTGGCCGGTCTTTTTGTAACGCCCGTATGAAGTTCCTGACGAAATGTTGTCAGCCATTTGAGCTTAAGGTACTCCATATTCTACAACTATATAATCGTTGTAGCACAGGGGTATTGGCCAGTCATCGCGCGTTTATGTCAGATAGCTAGTGTATCCATGGATGTTTGGCAATGATAGACTGGAAGGTACCCACAACGGACTAGACAAGCGAAATATCATACAAAAAAGACGAAGACGGATGTAAACAGGGGGTAGTAAGCGAAGGGTCATGTCATCAATGGTACTTGTATGAGTGATGTGACACGATGATCAGATTATCTACCTCATTGGGCAAGGTGACGAAGCTCTAGTACGAAGCTGGAATGGCGCAGCAGACTACATTCTATCTAACGGCAGTAACTAAGGAAGGGTGTTCTAAGTGCATTATGATCCATAGAAGCAAGTTGCACTTGGAGCTCATCGAGATCCGGTATCGCTACAGTTCGAGATTTGCCAGGAAAGGAGGACATTTAGCTCTCGGTGCCCGTGATATTGACTACATGTGAATTCTTTTGGCTGTTTATATGAAGAAGCAAGGTCAAAAGAGCAAAGACAGAGTCCCTTGGTCAAGTTTCTCTACTATGATTGGCCGTGCTGCTGTTTCAGCCTCCAGCAAGGAGAGATAGATTTCGCCATACAGCCCTGAAGGCATTTAGGCCCACAGTTATCGAGAATGTCCAAGCTCCACAGTGGATCATGGCACGACTATAGCAGATAGTGTAGATATTATCAAATATTATAGTTGAAGATAGCATAACACTATAATAATGAGTATCCCGTGTAAGCGAAGCAGCTACTGGGCAGACTTTTCTCCTGCACGGCCAACCACATCCGGGATGGCGCGGGGAAACAACCAATAAGAGTGAAGATAATTCGTAACATTGGGATCCACTTGGGGATGACAGCCAATCAGGCTGCTTTGGGATGCTCTTCGGCATGTGCCATGGAGTCTCTTCACTGAGTGTACGTAGAGAGTATAGATGGGCCTCTTAGCTATGTTTATAGCTATAATTAAGACAGCTATACTGTAGCATAGCTGTACTAATAGCTAATTATAGCTATGCACATCATATTTATATTCGTCATGTCCGAGGCGAATCGAAAGATGGATACAGGCAAAAAGCCATACGGTAACAATACACATCGCCACCCGGAGCTCCCCTCCCAGAGCTTCTGGAATCCTCAATTTCAGCTGGGGAGAGCTTCGGAGGGGCCGCTGATAGCGCCTATCGCGACTTTTTCTTCCACATCCATTTACTGTATCTTTGAAATGTTCGAACTCCAGACTCCACACTCAAACTTGCCTCTTTAGTGGCTCTTTGATTCTAATTCTCCAAGGCGAATCCCTCGAAAATTACAGAAAATCCCCTCGGTGTCCCACCGGGCTTTCCGAAAACCGCCAGTATTTTATACCCTAAAGCGGCCTTTCAATTTTTCCCTCCCCCCTTGATAAGAGGAACATTCCAAAAATGGGGCAAGCTGTACGCCCCTCTTTCAACAGGGAACCTAGTATAGTAAAAGACTATGTAAGTATATGTGTCTACGTCTATGTCTAATTCTACATGCCTCAAAGTAAAGACAGTAAAAAGGGATATGGGATAGTCATTATACAAGCGTAATTACCAATTACCCGTAATACATTCCCACAACGGACCGGGCGATGTACAGTACTTGCTTCTCTCTACACTTCCTTTTCTCTTCTCTTTCTCTCTTTGAGATCTTCCCATGTTTGCCAATCCTAGCTTTCAGCTTATTCTTAACCCTGATCGGCTGACCTCTTGCCCCTCCTTTTATCTTTGACCTCGACTCCCCTCCCCTGGGATCTCGACCCCATATGCACCATGCCTCCTCGAAGCTCACTGACTAGCTCCTTTTCGGTCACTGATGCCAATAATGAAGTGGTCTGTCCGTTGAAGAATAACGACGGCTCCAATTGTCGCAAGCGATGCTTGGGTGTGAGTCTGCCCCAGACGCCTCGAGCCCCACCTCTACCTATGACTCTGCAGCTGGAGCTCTGGGGATGTGCAACTTGGAATCGAACTAATCCGGTTTGGCGCTCCAGGAAAAGCGCTATCGCTCCATGCAGGAGCATATTCGACGTGCGCATCCGAACCACTACATCCCGAAGCTCCCGGCTACCGAAGAGAGCTTCCTGCTGATGGTGAACACCCCGCCCGAGCAACGTGTGCAGCTGTCTCCCCCAGAACCCGCGCAACCCCGGCGGCCTCAAGGTCAGTTTGCTGTGACTTGTCTCCTCTTTTCGTCCTTGCAGGGATACTGACGGCTACCCACAGATGTGGCGCCGGATAGGGACGTTTACGTCGCTGATGCCGGATCCCCCGCGACCCCTCGAGCTCACGATGAACCCCACCCAGCTGCTGCTACGGCGGCGGTTGCTCTAGCACAATTGCACCACCATCGCCTGGCGTCTGACTGGGATACAGACATGGTTGGTTACTCTGGACTGTGGACTGTCTCTCCACGGCACTGACCCGCATTTCCCCAGGAAACCCATTCGGATACCGACTTGAGCCAACCTCGCATGCGCTCCACGATCGAACTTCCCTCACTCCGCGATCACTTCAAGCAGGAATCTCTTCCGCCATTTTCGTCGCCTCGCCCGCGTGAACTGCTTCCGTCTATTCTCAATCATTCTCCGCCCGGTCGCTCATCCACATTACCGCCAATTCAACGACGAGACAAGTTTTCTCGGCCGCGCAAATCTTCCATCACGCAATCTGCGCGGAAACCGAAACAGGATCGGCCCAAGTCGAAAGAATTTGGACGGCGACCAAGCCTGGGCGACCGCAAGGCCCTTTCTGCGGAACCACAAACTGCAGCGTGGGCGCAAGGCAAGCGATGGGAAGATTTGATCGAGGCAGCGACGTCAGCAACCGAAGCAGATGATGAGCGTTACTCAGAGGTGAGTTTTCAATGCGATCTGAACATGTTCGTTGCTGATGCAAAATCTCCAGGCTGGTCGGTCTCCAACGATTGCCCCACTACTCTCCAACGTGACGTCTGCTCCTGCTGTGAAAAATCGTTCTTCGCTACCACCCGCTTTCCAGTCAGCAGGATTGCCTCCACTTTCATCGCATCGGCAGTTTACTCCTCACAGCTATGCTGCTTCGCCTTTGCACAAAGCATTGACCCCACCACCGTTCGAGAACCATCGCAACCGGGACAGCGACTTGGAGCCGTTCCCATCTATTGAATCATCGCTCGATTCCATGTCTTCAGCATCGGGTAGAAATCTGTCGGGAGCATCGGGAATAGCGCCCTCGATAAACTCTGATTCCAGCCCAACAATGGGTTTGATACCGCCAATTTCTCAACGCCAACATCATCGGTTCTCCAATCCTACACCATCGTCTTTCCGCAACAAAGAGGTTCAGGTCTTTTGCGCTAACTGCAAGCGACCATCTGCGCTGAACGAATGCTATGCTTGTACAGAGTGTATCTGTGGAGTGTGCCGCGACTGTGTGGGCATGTTTATTTCGAGTCCACCCGTCTCATTTCGAACCCCGGGCAACGGTCTATTGAACAACATGCAGCACGGGCCGACAAGTTACCCCGGCCCTCGTGGGTGCCCACGATGTCGAACAATAGGAGGAAAATGGAAAGCATTCCAGATCGACATCAAGTGAAAGACAAAAGACAGCGTCTATTGGCGTTACGCATTTACGACTGATGTTTGGTACACGTTCTTTATATTGTTATTTATTCGACTTTCGCGGTATGGGTCCATCATCCAGACGTGCAGGAGTTTACCAAGGCTGGTATTCGGCAGGTTCCCGACCAAACCCCGAAGAAGCTGGTCTTTTTTCAATGTTAGGGGGTACACTTTTTTTTCTTTTGGCTGCATTTGGTGTTATGGATATGGATATGGATATGGACATGTTTGGTCATGATTTTATGTTTATGTGTTATTTTATGTTTGTGAACTTGTACTGCACTGATTTCACCCTGTCGCGCTGTTTATAGAGAACAGGATAGGTGTGGGATCACATCCTCACCATGCTATCCTTGATTTACATTACGCCAATCTACCTACTCATCCCAGATGACACTGCTCAATCCCTCAGCAGTCCCAACCTTCCCAGGCTCCCCAACCTGTAAGATAGCAACCTTCTCCCCCAAATTTCCTGTCTCCCGATCCCGCCGCACAATAGCAACAGTCGCAGAAGCCTGGTTCCCAATCGCAACCAAATCGCCAGCCCGATTCACCGCGAACGTCCGAGGAACCTTTCCAAACGCAGAATCCGAGTTCCGCACCTTGACAGACCCATCACTGGCATTCCGGCCAAGAACAACCATCGAATCACTCGGCTTGAAACCCTGATCACTCCGAATAGAAACATAAAACGCATCGCCAACCCGACGGATCTCAGCAGGCGTCGCTCCTGAAGGCATCTTACCACCGGGATACGGGACCACAGTCTGAGTCTTCTCAAAAGATAAACAGCCAGACCGTGAGTAGGAAACATCGTATACCATCACCGTCCCGCCAATCTCGTTGGCGAGATACATCATCGTCTTGCCTACAGCTGCCATCTTCCGCGAATGGCTAGTCCTAACAGAAGAAGCAGAAGCAAGAGAAGACCGATCCGTCCCATCCGTCCAGAAAACTCCGTGCCGAGGTCCGCTACCGTATGTTACGTTCACAGACGGGCATTCGCTTAGTTTCCCACTCGATCCTTCAATCGAGTAGACGCGTAGTAGGTCCGCGCCTAGATCAGGACTCAACACGAAAGATCCCGTCGGGTCGAGGAAGACTTCATGGGGGTGTGGTGTATCCTGCTGCGCGACTTTGCCAGGGCGCGTTAGGTTGAAGTGGAAGGATTGGTTCTCCGGTTGGTTTTGTTTTATGGGGAGGGCGAAGGTTGAGATTGCTGCGCCTTCGCTGTAGAGCAACAAGTAGGGTATCGTTAGCATATACACTTCCCATATAACCAATCAACCAGAAACAATTATCCAGGCTAGAGAAGTGTGAGGAAACATACTAATGCGCAATAGCGAGGAACTTCCTCCCCTTGTCCCTCTCATAAATAACACTCGCAACACCACCCCCAACCGTCCTCGTCTTCGCAATCTCACTCAGAGACCCATTCGGCGCGGCATGCAACGCCGTCAAGGATCCATGCGTTGATGGGTCCGTAGTCCCGTCTTCGTCAGAGCAGTAGACGATACGCGCTTGGGGGTCCAGCGTTAGCCAGCTTGGCATGTTGCCGCATGTCTTCAGGGTTTGCGTGATTGAGAGGTCATGGTGGTTGTTTAGGGTTAGGGTGTACACGTTTCCGTTGTAGTGGGTTGCCCAGAGATGGGCGGGTTTGGCGCTTGTTAGGGTTGTTAGGAGGGGGAGGAGGAGGGTTTGGAGGTGCATGTTGGGCAAGTAACTGGTGGACAGTTATTGCTTGGGGTAGTGTTTGTATAGAGGGTCTATAGGTAGCGGTGTAGTGAGAATTGGGGGAGTGGAATTGGAGTGGAATGAATGCTTGTTATGTATGCGGAGGACGGGATCAGACGCGATTGCAACACGCGAGCGGGATGATCAACAAGCCCCGGAGTATGCACTGCGACCTCGCAGGCACAGTACGCTGCGGAATGGATCGTCGGTCTGCAACGGAGAGTGTGGAGAGGGGGTTGGGGAAGGGGTTGTTCCGAGGTGCATTACATGTATGCAGGTCTGTTATTTTGATTGGATTGCATTGATTTGTTCTATTATTGTGCTGGATATAATAAATGTAGTGAATACTACCATGCAGGGACTCGGACTCGGACTCGTCGCTTTAATCGGGTTAGGGTTGAGGGGAGTATGGGGTTTGCGCTTTCCCCTGGAATGGTCGGTTTCACCACCTTCAGCCACCTACGACGCACCGTTCAACTACGGGAATTACCCCTCTGCTACTCTGCTACGGAGACTGCAGCCCGCGTTTTACGTCTCTTTTTGCTTAGTGCTATGGGGTACCCCGTATTCCGTGGGGGTTGTCGGCTTTACTTCGGTATTACCAGACCATTCACGATCGACACTTCTATAGCACTATGGAGTATGGTTCTTGGACCTATGAACCCTAGCCTATGAAAGGGTTAGACTGTTCGATAAAGAAGTCGCGGGAAGAGGAGAGCCTAAGATTGTTAGAATACCTTTTGAAGCTAGACGCCGTGCTTGTATAGCTATAGATAAAAAAGTATCGGCATAAAGAACCTAAAGCTGCTAGAATGTAATAGGGTCATAAGCGTGTATACATGGCTATAAAGTATAGAATAGTCGAAGTACACTGTTCCGTACATATAGTTTTCGCCCTACTTTTGCCTCTCTTTTCTAACCTCTTTTCTAACCTCTTTTCTAACCTCTTTTTTAACCTCTTTTTTGCCCATTTTCGAGCGCCTTGGGTTTATTCTGAATTTGACTAAGCAATACCGTCAAGCCTATCTCACACAGAGTTTAGATGTCTCCAAACCAACCGCTTTACTCAGGTAGTAGCGAACAAACAGCTCCACCGGCGCCGTAGCTTCATTCCGAAAGCTCCACAGTTGAGAATATTGTATAGTGAGCTCACCTCCATCATAGGAGGCTTGAATGATCCGACCATGCTTGCGACCCGTATATGAAATAAGTAAGAGCTAAATAAATATCGTCAGTGTGGTGACCATGAGGTTATAGGTACGAAAAAAAACTCACTGGGTGGATATGTGCGTTTTTAAAGCGTCCACGAGAGACTCGGGGGAGCATCAAGTATACAATGGCTCTAACTTCATGGATAGTAAGGCACTGGTGGGCGTCGCTTGCGAGAACGGCTGCGGTAGTGCACACGATGCTATGTGGTCTGGGAGAGATAGTATCACAAAGATCTGCCCTAGACCTCACTCTCCAGCAAATACCAGACAGAAAACCAGAATCAAAGTCAGGGGGGTCCCCGTTTTTCCTTTCATAGTGTTTCCTATAAGTAGTTAGTACTATTGACAATCACAAATCCATTGCCAACCTACTTGCAAGATTGAAATTCTGCCAGATCTCCAGTGAAAAAAAGCCCTGTGCTTCCCTTTCGGAGTGACGAAATCTGGCAGTCCACATGAGTTTCTGTTTCATGGGCTCTCAGTTCCCACTGGTCGTCGGGCCAGGAATTCAAGTATTTTTTGTACAGAGACTTTGCTTTTATGATAGGGTACTTTTGGTCTGGATATTCTCGTTCAACTTTTCTCAGAAAATAGTCGAGGTCTGGACAGTTGAGGTCAGATATGCCGTTCGGATTGTCGAGTGGATATTTTTGGAGCACTCGCTCTGGGTAAGGCTGGAAGAAGCACGGATTGAAATGTATGTCCCCATCCTGAGATGTTTCAACCTGGGAAGCTTGAATCCCAAGTGCTTTGAGGTCGTCGAGAGATAGGAAGACATGTTTATACTCTTTGACTCGTAGGTAAAGCGAATGGAGAACGCTATCGCGTCCTTGCTTTTCCAGGTTCATGGTGGCAGATACGTGTGGATGGCAGTTTCTCAAAACGAGATGATCTTTTGGTAATGGAAGACAAGTGTGACTCAGTCGGCTGGTAATCTCGTCGTCATTTGGTCAGAAATGGAATCGGAGTGCTTCGAAAGCTTATCTCAATATCTACGTAGATCTTTGATTTCCCTTTAATTCACTATTCGTAACTAGTGGCCGGGATATCTTGGCATGAGTGAATTGATCTGTAAAGCAGTATATGATTTATACAATGTTGGAATATTGACATAGACGAAGAGTCAAGCTTTAACTGTATTACTATAAGAAACGTGTGTCTTCTTGTGCTGAATAGAATATAGACCATGCAATGCTATCATAACACTTCCCTAGAAAGAAACATCAAGACTTGGTATAACAATGTTACCATCAGCAACAAGCACACCGGTCCCAGAAATCAAAATAGCGAATCCATCTTCAACAACCTCAACACGCAACTTCATCAAACATCTCCGTCCAGTCTGCACCCCCTGCAAAACCTCAATCTGCGTCATCTTATCTCCCAAAGTCCCGGCACTCTTCGCCCACATATAAGCAGCCAAAGGCCCAGCAGCGGAGCCAGTAGCCGGATCCTCCATCCCCATCCCCGGACTGAAAAACCTCGCCTCAAATCTAGGGACTGTAGATCCATCTTCACTTGGAACAGAAGTAAAGACATAAACACCACTATTATAACTGCTTGTACTAGCAAGCTCCTTCGCAATACCATCTTTATCAGCAAAACTGACATTGCGAAGGACCCCCATATCCCGCACTGGAACTAGGAGATGGCGCGCAGGTGATGTAGTAACGACCCTTGCCTCATTGAGTTCAATCCCTGCGTATTTCAGCCCGATATCGGATTCTTTAATCCCAAGGGATCGAGACAGGGAACCTGGATTGGTATGTTTATTCAGGAATTGAGGCGGACCCTGGCGCATTGAGATAATGATATCCCCCAAGTTAGACTGGGATATTTCAACTGGGAGGATATTGTCGCCTAGTTGTTGATGATATATCCGTCCACTCTGAGGAGTGCCAAGTGTAACATCCACATCCACAAGTCCTGAATGGGCAATCCACCACCAGGCACCGAGTGAGTTGTGGCCTGCTCCGAAGACTTCTTCTCCATTTGGAAGGAAAGATCTTAGGCGCCAGGTTGCTTTTGT